AACTTTTCATTATTTCTATATGGATAATGCACTTTTTATTTTGCAATCACATTCATTTCTGGCTTAATCTTTATTGGGGGGATGAACAGTATACTGAAAACTTACATAGGTCTTTATATATTAGATTTTTTAAAACCTGTCTTATAGCCCCTGATGAAGGGTTCTGTTTTGATAGAAACACATTGGAACATGTTCTTGCAAAGCACCTTTGAGGTTCTGCCTCTATTTTTGTTTTCCCTTTGGCTGGTGACACAAGTTTTTCTTTTTTGCTGGAGACCTCCAGGTTTATTTCCCTCTATGTACTGAGATAACTTTTTGCTTTTCCAAAGAGCATTTGGATAGCCTGTTGGAACAAACTTCTATATTTGATGCTCACATAACAAACTCTACCCTTGTAAAATTACAAGAAAGAGTTAAATATATCTACATTTTTGGAATATTACCATATAAAAGGAAAATATTCAAAGACCTCCACATGTTTAAAGATAATCATTAATTTATTGATCAATGATGTGCTATCCTGTATGATATCAACAGCTGATACAGCAAAGACAATTAATCAGGATTTAGAAGTAATAGTACAAGAACCAAACACTGCAATAGCTTGGATAGTGGAGATTGAGGGTCAAATAGCATCATAGACCCATGGAGTTGGAAGGGACCTCCAGGGTCATCTAATCCAACCCCTGCACAATGCAGGAAATGCACAAACACCTCCCCCCCCACACTTCCAGTGACCGCTGTTCCATGCCCAGATGACGACAAAAAACCTCCAGGATCTCCAGCCAAACTGGCCTGGAGAAAAATGGCTTCCTGACCCCAAAGTGGCAATCAGCATTTCCCTGGGTGTGTAAGAAAGGGCCACAAGAACTAAGCACTGAGGCAACCCTTCCTGCCCTCCCGCTCATGATCTGCCTAAGTTCACAGAATCAGCATTGCTGTCAGATGGCCACCTAGCCTCTGTTAGAAAACCTCCAAAGGAGAGCCCACTGTTGCCATGAAGCCACTTCAGATGGCATTATTAAAGATTCTTGAAACATCACTGCCTTACTGGACTGTGAAGAGCATGTGCCAGGGCAATGGACAGAGCTGTGATCCTACATAAAGTGCCCAATGCTTGACTATGGACTGTACACTGTGGCCAAGGGAAGCCTTGTGCCCAAGAAGCATGCCAAGCCAGATGTGGACCCAGGACTACAGAAGCCTTCTGTCCCTGCACCTCTGCATCAGAGCAAGGACCATGATGCAGACCAAAAACCCTGGACTCCATGAGCACAGAGACAGTAGCAGCCCTGAGGAGAACCCATGTTCTGACAGAGGACCAGTGTTCCTGCACAGAGGCCATGAAGAGATCTCTTCTTCACCACATAGCACATTCCTCCCCCTCCTCCTAAGCCATTCTCAAAGACTGTCACCCAGCTAAAGACAAAAGAAGTGATTAAGCTTTCCTGACGATTCAGATAACACCTCTGCCAAACACTGAATCATTATTGTGAAGCACTGGTCCAGTGATGTGATTGGATCCCTCTGCCCTTTCCTTTGTTTTACCCCCTTCCCTAAGAGGTGTCACTCCCTGCCGACCATCAAGTCTAATTGCCCAACTGTCATTTCCTTTGTCTCAACCTTCCAGAGTACAGTATTCTTCTAATACTTCCTGGGAACCAGTGACCACCTGGTCATTGCTACAGGTCACAAATTGGTCAAGGTGAGATCTCTGTGAGTTCGCACTCTTCTCTTCGCCCCCCATCTACCTTCTTGGTTCCATTCCTGATCAGCTTGGAACTACTCCATGTGTGTTGCTGGCCGGCTACCCCCCCCCCTTTCATTTCCTTTTTTGCTGCAAGATCTGCTCATCACGCTGGTCAGGTAACATATTACTCACCAGCAATACTCCTCCTGCTCATGCAAACGTCATTATCTTTTCAACCCTGTATTCTTAGCCCTGTCACTATCTTTTCAACCCTGTATTCTTAGCCCTGTATTGTGTGTTTGTGTGTGCTTGCTTATTGTTTGTACGTGTGAGAATCATTAAGTAAAGATATCAGTTATTCTAGTAACCTAGCCTCCTCGTCTATTCATGGGCTCTGGGAATCCTGACTCTGGTATACACGGGTTATGATCCTATATTTTATGCCTATTGCCATTTAACATCATAATTACCCTAAGTTTATTCATAAAATAAGGCAATTTGGCTAACACTACCACCCCCCCGAGGAAGCCTGTTCCACTGAGGAAACCACTCTGTCAGGAAGTTCTTCCTAATGTTTAGTCCAAAACATTTCTGATTTAATTTCAACCCATTGGTTCTGGTCCAACCTTCCGGGGCAACAGAAAAAAACTGTACACCGTCCTCTATATGAAAGTACCTGAAGATGGTTATCATATCACCTCTCACTTGTCTCCTCTCCAGACTAAACATACCCAGCAACTTTTTGTCATAGGATTTGGTCTCCAAACCCTCACCATCTCCATTCCCCTCCTCTGGCCACGTTCTAGCTTGTCTAAAATTCTTAAATTGTGGTGCCCAAAACTGAACACAATACTTTAGGTGAGTTCTAACCAGAGCAGAGCAAAGCGATACTATCACTTTGTGTGATCTGGACACTATCCTGTTGATACAGCCCAAAATCGCATTTGCCTTTTTAGCTACCACATCACACTACTGATTCATGTTCAGTATATGGTCTACTAAGACCCCTGGATCCTTTTCGCACATGGTACTGCCAAGACAAGTCTCCCCCATCCTATAATTATGCATTTGATTTTTCCTACCTAAGTGCAGAACTTTACATTTATCCCCACTGAAATTCATTGTATGTGTTTTAGCCCAGTTTTCCAGTCTGTCAAAATCATCCTGTATCCTGACTCTGTCTTGTACCGTATTTGCTACCCCTCCCAATTTAGTATCATCTGCACATTTAATAAGTATTCCCTCTATTCCTTCATCCAAATCATTGATAAAGCTGTTGAACAAAACAAGTCCCAGGACAGATCTTTGAGGCACTCCACTTGTCACTCCTACCCAAGAGGATGAGGAGCCATTAACCAGCACTCTTTGGGTGCGATCTGTCAACCAGTTACAGATCCACCTAACAGTAATAGGATCCAAACCACATTTTACCAATTTGCCAACAAGAATATTATGTGGAATCTTATCAAAAGCCTTACAGAAATCAAGATAAACTATGGCTGATTCTGCATTGTCTTTTCCCTCTGTTGTTTTACAAAACTCATATTGGAATAGAAATTCCCCTCTGCATTGCATGCTGCTTTCACTTCCTTTGATCATTGGATTTTATGGTACCTTCCACACTCCATGCCACTTTTGCTTTCGTTGATAATTGGATTTTATGGTACCTTCTGCATAGATTTATGACCACTCAGGGGTGACTTTGCAGTCAGTAACCGCATTGCCCTGAGGCATTTGAATGTGATTTTGAGCCGCAGGTTTTCCTCCCAGTTGAGAAAATATGAAGAGTGAATGCTAGATGCAGAATCATCCTATGTCTAGAGCATTCCCCTGATACAGCAAGGTAGAAACTTTCTTCAAAAAAAGATGATGTTAGTCTGACATGACTTATTCTTGAGAAACCCATGCTGGCTCTTAGATCACAGCCTTCCTTTCTAAATGCTCAAAGACTGCCTGTTTGATTATTTGTTCTAACGTTTCCAGGTAGACATCAAGCTGACGGGTCAGTAGTTACCTGGATCCTCCTTTTTCCCTTCTTAAAGATGGGGGCAACATTTGCTCACCTTCAGTCTTCTGGCACCTCACCTGTTCTCCAAGAATTCTCAAAAATAATGGACAAAGACTCAGAAATTACATTCATGAGTTCTTTTAGTACCCTTGGATGCAGTTCATCTGTCCCCGAGGAGTTAAGTTTCATTTAAAGAAACTAGGGGTTTATCTACTACCCCTATGCCAATCCTGGGCTGCAACACCCTTCCCTCATCATGTGTTCTGTTTTTGCCATGTTGAGCACCGTTTCCCTCATCAGAGAAGACTGAGGAAAAGTAGGAATTGAACAGTTCTGCCCTCTCTTCATCACCTGTTACTTTTTTAAACTTTGAACATTGAAACAATCCCTTTTTTATTGTTTTTAGAATTTTTCACTAGCTTAAGCTCACAGTGAATTTTAGCTGTCCTAACCCTCTCTCTACAAGCACTGGTTATTTGTTTATATTCATCCTCGGTTATAAGGCCCTCTTTCCATTTTCTAAATGAGTCTTTTTTATTTCTCAAGTCTTTAAAAAGCTGTTTATGGAGCCATCTTGGCTTCTTTAGGCTCCTCCCATTTTTTGTTCTCACCAGCATCCTTTGTGATTGTGCCTTCAGTATTTTGCTTTTAAGAAACTCCCACCTCTGTTGAACTTCCTTCTCCTTAAGTATTTCTGACCATGGGATTCTACCCAGCATAACTTTGTCAAAATTTGCTTTCCAACCTATATGTCTATGTACAGCTTTTACCTTACCCAAGACTGTACATTCCAAAATTACATGGTCACTACTACCCAGGGTGCCCACTACTTTCACCTCATCAACCAATTCTTCCCTGTTGGTCCAAGATAGCAGATCCCCTTGTTTCCCTCTCCACTTTCCGGAAAATGAAGTTGTCAGCAAGACAAGTCAGGAATTTATTGGACCTTTCATTTTTAGCAGAGTTGGACTTCCAACAAATATCTGGGTAATTGAAATCTCCCATGAGAAACAGGTGAATATGGTAGGATAAGGAACTGCAATAGGGTCATAAGGCCAAACCTCAAAAAGTGTCCAAGAGACAAAAGAAAAAAAATTATCTAAGACAAAAGAACAGAAATATGAAAACAATTTCTTTTGTCCATAACAGATCTTCAGAACACCTTCTGTTAGCAAGAATAGTGAAATGAAGTTATCTTTGTAGTGTGTCCTCTTTTTTTTAGCAAGAGTCTGGGAAGATATACTTGAGGTATTTTACTCAGAGACTTGAAGAGATACCCAGAATCTGTACAATCTCAGGGGAGAAAGAAAAGGAGTCTAGTGGTTAATCTTTCAGACACGTTTTTAAATGCAAAAGAACTAGCGGTTTGCAATAAGGGTATATTGTACATACTGACATCTTGATATGATGTACAAAGACACAAGGATTTATCAGACTACAGAAATTAAAATGTCTTTAACAGATAAGGGGGATTCTCAGTCTGTCAGCTAATTTAAACATCACTCTTGTTTTTTATCTTTTCTGCCGTTTCATATTTCGTTGCCTCTCCTCTGTAGCCCTATGGAGGGTGAACTTTAAACTGTCCGAAAATGGAGGAATGCACATATTGTATGGAAACCCTGAACCAGGGTGTGGCAATGGTGGCCCTGGTGGCAATGTGAATAGAGGATGACAATGCGGATTGTCAAAACTCTTAAACTGTTGTTGCAGATAGTCAAAACTCTTAATAAACTGTTGTTGCAGATATTCAAACCTCTTATTAAACTGTTGTTGCGGATTGTCAAAACTCTTATTAAACTGTTGTTGCGGATAGTCAAAACTCTTATTAAACTGTTGTTGCGGATAGTCAAAACTCTTAAACTGTTGTTGCGGATAGTCAAAACTCTTAAACTGTTGTTGCGGATAGTCAAAACTCTTAAACTGTTGTTGCGGATAGTCAAAACTCTTAAACTGTTGTTGCGGATAGTCAAAACTCTTAAACTGTTGTTGCGGATAGTCAAAACTCTTAAACTGTTGTTGCGGATAGTCAAAACTCTTAAATTGTTGTTGCGGATTGTCAAAACTCTGAAATTGTTGTTGCGGATTGTCAAAACTCTGAAATTGTTGTTGCGGATTGTCAAAACTCTGAAATTGTTGTTGCACCTTTGCTACTCCTTCAGCCACCAGTTGGTCAAGTGTCTTAAATTCTTGCAGATTGAGTTGTTGTTTCAGCTTTGCTGCAGCTGCAGCCCTCTGTTTCCTTTTACTCATCCTAGGGTTCTGCGTCTCTGTCACAGTCACCTTCTGCTTTGAATCTGTATTTCCAGACTGGGGCTTGCTTTCTCTACATTTGCCTCCCTCAGTACTTTCAGCCTTTGAGGCAGCTAGATCGTGGTCTTGACTCTGATTATCTGTCTCAGTTTTCCGCAAGCTGCACGTTTTAGAAGATGACTGGCTTGACTCCTTTTGGGATTCCTCTATCTCACTTTCCTTCTTCTCAACCTGTATGTTATCTTTCTTCAACACAGGCGTAATCATTAATTTTTGGCCATGAGAACCTTCTTTCTCTTTACTCTTTTTACTAATCTCATTTTCATCACCCTTTCCCCCCAGTCCTTTGGTAATCTTTGATTCTTCTTTCCTTTCCACTTTTGTACTCCCTTCATCTTTAGCTTCTGTTTTTTTAATCGGACTCAGTCTTGCCTGTTGGTCCAGGTTGCTCCTCCCTTCATAGAATGGATTCTTACTCAAACACTCCTATGAGAAGAAAGAAATCTCAGCATGATTACCCCATATAGAAGAACACCTTGGAATCAGCAAATCCATAAACAGAAGGGTGAAATTTCTCCAATCCCCTCTCCCCAACACACACTGCACTTCACAGAGCATTTTGGGCTACAGCTGGGATCCCCCCCCCCGGGAAATCCCTTCTGTCAGTGGAAATTGCTACTGGACCATGCCTACATTACGGAAGAGCTGTGGCTTAGTATCCTCCCCCAATTAATTGTACTTGCTGTGAAACAAGAGGAGAAATTCATAGATACCATCCCCATATAGGTATTTATGATCTGAAGAACTAGAAACTCTCTGAACTTCTACAAATATAAAAGACATTATTTAAGATAAAATTTCAGTGCAACAAAGAACCCTCCAGCATAATAAAAGAGACACCGCATAATTAAAATGTTACATCTCATGGCAGAAGATCAAGAAAATAACTTCAAAAGAGATAGTAAAAGACTATAATACGCATTTAAGAATGGCTCTGCAACTAATAATCAGAATACTAACATGGTATTTCAAATTTACTGGGGGCAGCACACATGGAAATAGTCAATAAATTGAAGAAAATGAAGGGCTGAATGTCCAAAAATGACTGAGAGTTTGGAATAGTTTGTACATGGTATTAACAGACTGGGTCAGATTTGGAGAGAAAGGCAAGAATTTATAAATTTAAAAATGTTTACTGGAATTGGAATAACTTCCTAAATTCTTGCAACAGAAAGGTCAGCCAAAACTACATAGGGAAATTATTATAATCTAAACAGTGATTTTCAGGTGATAGCATGAATTCATTTATAGTTCATAATTAATTTTATATCTGCTTATTCATATGTATAAAGCACCATTTGGAATATTGGTTGCATCTTAATAGGCTTAATAGTTCATACTGGCTCTCCATCCACAAATTATGCTTGATATTAGTGAGCATCTAAATTAGAGTCCAGTGGCACCTGAGAGACCAACAAGATTTTCAGGGTATGAGCTACTGGACTCGAACCTAGCTGTTCTACTGCAGACCAACCTGACTACCCTATGAAATTAAACTAATAGGCATGTCTCTTTAGACAGTAAATGATGCTATAGAAGAATTATATTTAGCTTCCATTTGAATTGTACTTTGAATTGATGAAACTGTTTACTACAGGCATTAACTCTGTTTAATATAGTACATCTGCAAACCCTGGTTTGTATTAATTTTAGCAATTACTTAATTGGAGTAGTGGTAAATATAAGAGCAAGTAGCATTTCATGACAAAGGTATTTTTTTACTGATGACTACATAGTACAGAATGGTAAGCATTTAAGACAACTAAAACTGTTTAGGATTATAGATATTGGCCTGGATCCTGCCTACATTTCTGTGGGCCCCAGGGGAAGGGATAATTTTTGCAGATTCCTTCTTCATGGCCCTTTGGAAGCTGCTTGACATCACCTATACACTTATTTTGAAACAATGCTATTCCACAGAACGTAGCCAGCTTATTCTAAGATCAGTCATACTATAAAACGTTGGAATAAAGTTTGAGTCCAGTGGCACCTTTAAGACCAACAGGTGCCACTGGACTCAAACTTTGTTCTGCTGCTTCAGACCAACAAGGCTACTATAACACAATAACCTCTCCCCGGCTATTGCCGTGACCAAGCTGTGGCGTCACTGCCTATCTATATACTAATAGCCAAGAGGCCCCCTCTGTGTGGATATCTAAATCTGCACATCGGGGGCACATAGGGGGCAGAGAGATTTTCCTGCACACTTGGGGCACTCCCCAGGAGTGCAGAAAAATCTGAAAAGTTAAAAAAAACTATACGGGGGATAATTAACCCCCCCCCCAAAGTAAAGAGTGTTCCGTGTGCATGCACAGAGAACGCATTGGGAACTCTGCCTCGCTGCCGTTAGTGGGGGGAGGCTCGGCAGGCCCTGCCGCTCAGGTCTTGCCGCCGGTGCTCTGCAGCCGCTTCCTCCTGAATGCAGAGTATCCCCCCCCCGCGAGTATCGCAGGTCCCGCTTCTTGTATATATATATTTATTTGTACTGGATTCAGTTTATTTTACTGTGATGTAACTGATCAGTTCTGCTTTCAGATGGCTGACCAGTTCACACTTAAAAGTAGTCTCTTTGGGGTTTGTATATATAACTTCAGGATGTATTGAGGACAACTGCCCAGTATAATTCTTTTTCAAAGAGTCAGGCAGCAGTGCTTGTAAAAGTCAAACAGCACAGTTCTTTATTTCACAGAAAACTCAACAGGGGGATGGGATATATTTACACAGTATATTTTGATACTTTGTAGAATAAACATTTCACTTTGCCTTTACATAGGCTGTATGCTTATCACTCTCAGTTTGACTCAGATGTTCTTTAGTTCACAACACCCATCTATGATCCCACTCTCCAGTAACTGTTTTGTGGTTAACCTTTGGACTTTATTTGCCTGGTCCCTTGAGTCTTACTGGTGCGACTACCCCAGCTCTCCAGACTCCTCTGGACCCTTAGCCCTTCCTTAGCCACCTTTATCAGTTCCTTTGGAGCAGTGTCTCTGGTGTTTGTGACCACTGAGGTTTTATACTGTGCATTCTCTGTTCACTCTCCTCTTTACATTAGAGGGTACCAGTGCAGAGTGCTATTCAGCCACAGTTTTCCACACAAACTGCTATCCGGCTGATTCCACTGAGCCCAGAGGCTTATGTCCTTTTCAGAGCTCTCTAGTTAGCCGACTGCTAACTTTCTTCCAACTGTCAGCTCTCAATTGTCAGCTGTTCAGTTATCTGTCACTCACTGAGAGTTCCGAGCCAACTGGCCCCCACCATTCTCAGTCACATGACTCAGTAGCTCCTTTGTTTACCTGCTGCTGTCCTCAAATCTTTAATTCCGTCACAGCTACACATATGAATCTACCATAAAACATTGAAATTTTGTTTTATCTTATTAATTTTTCTGACATGGACAGTTCACCAGTAGGCAGAATCTTTAATGAAGAGAGTTGGCCAGAGGTGGACCTCTCAGTTCCTTCCCAAAGCTGGTCATTACTACGTGTGCAATAAAACCAACTGGGGTCCCGGTCACACGGCCAGGAAACTGCGGCGGGGAAGTGCAGCAGTTAGCCCCGGGGCAAACAAACCCGCGGTTTCACGACCAGACTTCCCGAGGAGGTTCCGTCGAAGTTCCGTGGCGAGGGGGGAGGTGCCGATCACACCACAAGCAAAGAAGCGGGCCCCCTCGCCTGCGGAGCCTCGCTGCAGACAGCTACACCTGGCAAGAAACACGCAGGCCCGGTTCTTCGGAAGCACGACACACACACCCCTCGCTGACGTAAACGGCTGTGGACTTGGAGCCAGGGCAGTTCCCTTCGGAGGGGGCTGGCCTCAACACTCACCAGAGAGCGAAAGCGCGGAGACCCGCGGGTCAGGGGCAATTCCTCCCCCCCCCCCATTCTCCCGAAACTTCAAAGAAAGAAAAGGGCCGTCACTCTGGTTAGATCGTTGTGTTTTGTTTACTTTTTAAAACGGAAGTGTGCGCATGCTCCATTGGGTGCCTGTGCGCATCCCAGGAGCCTTGGGGAAAAAAAACAACCTGTTTGCGAGGGGACATGGGCGGGCGCCGGATGCCACCGGAAAGGCGATCAGACGCCCGCCCTTGCCCCGCAGTTTCCGGAAACTAGTACCTCGGAGGTACTAGTTTTTTGCTGCGCTTCTTCGGCGGGAAGCTGCAGTTGAGCCACGGAAGTGCTACGCTTCCCAGATGTGCCGGTGAGATCGCGCCCAGAAACTCCGCATGTCTTCCGTCTCTCTAGTGTGGCTAATGTTCCGTGTGACCGCAGCCTGGGTATAATAAACTCTACCTACTAGGTTGATGCTGCATCACTATCAGGTGAACTATGTAAACATATTCTCTATTCTTCCTTATTAGGAAAGAAGACAGATGGAGGAAAACAGACAGGGCAGAACCTCACACTGGAACTCTTCTGCCAGAGAGTTTGCAGAGGCAAACTTCTTGACTTTGTAGTGTCTGAAGAAAATGTGTATGGGAGATAACACCTCTTCCACATATGACCTGGAACAAAGTGGCTCCCCCCTGCCCTGCAGCTCCTTCATGAAGTGAGTGGACTGTAACACTACCTCTGGAACTGGGTCCTCTGCAATATTATAAATCTTTGCAATCCAGGCTCTATACCATCTAACAATAGAAGTCTTGGATGTTTTTCGCCTCTGCCTCTTACTTCATATTCTAGAAACACAGGACTACATCCTTAGCAGGCAGATTATGAGGGTCCTGCAAACATCTAAGCAATGCCATACCCTCTCTTTGGGATTGACTGGTCTGGAGCAAAATGAAGGGAGGACAATTTCTTGTTCCAAGTGAAAATGGAATTTGCCCCCAGGACAGAGAATCACCCAATCCTTGTATACGCTGGGTCAGCCCCCCAGAAAGAGGGTGGCTCTTACTCCAACATCCTACAGGCTGATGTAATGGCTACAAGAAAAGACATTTCTGTTTACAAGAGAGGAAAAAAGGCCTCAGTCATGGGCTCAAATAGTATTGTACTTACGGCTTAGAGCACAAAATTTATCATTCAGATATGAAATCTGTGTGCTATCACAAGACCTAACAGGAAAATAGCCTTTAGGAACTGCTTCACATGTTGGTAGGAATATGATAAGTACCAACCAGAAAGGGGGTGGGGGACACCTGAACATACTGGTTATACCTGCTTCCCTGAAGTGCTTGGTATGACCCAATACCAACCCTGGATGGAGGACCTCTAACACACAGTGAACCTGGTCCACTAAGGGAACAACCCCTATACCAGATACCAGTTACAGAAATGCATCTAATTGTCCAAGCAGAACTTTCTAATGGATTCACATCTAATGCCAACAGGGACTACAAACCCCATATAATAACCCAAGCTTCTTAGGGTAGTCCTTTCAGCCTCCAAGCAAAAAGCTGTAGAAGCTCCAGCATAGGGTAGAAGAATGGTTTCTGACTGAGGAAGTCCGGAGAAAGGTGCAACAACATCAGGAAATGAATTTACAGGTCTATGAACTAACAATGGGTGTGATCTGAAGAACAGTTTCACCTTGGCATTGGTTAGCCTGGCAAACAAATCTAAGAATGGGGTTCTGTATTGCTATTTTACTAAATGGAATATTTCTTTGTGCAGAGGATCTGGGAGTGTCCAAACCACATCTCTCAGGGAACTCCCTTTCTGTGACCACCCCTTCTTGCCACTCCCTAGGCCTGCAGGGTCTCAGACAAGGAGAGGGGAGGGGGTTCTGAGCACCTTATTCCTCCTCTCTACAGCTTGTGGACAGACTGAGGACACCTCCTCCCAAATCCCTTATAAGGCTGGTGCATTAAGCCACACAGCTGCAGTCGACTCCCCCACGGGAAGGTGGAATGGAACACAGCTATGAGGCTAAGTCAGTGGTCAACTTCAATCAGCAGAGAACACTTTCTTCCTTCTGTATAGCTATTTCTTTCATCTCTGAAATCCTGGCCTATAGGCAGTAAAAGATGCCTGCCAATTGGCAAACCAGACAGTGCATACTAGGAGGTATTTACAATTATTAATTACAGAGTCAGGTGGAAGAATGGGAAAGGAAGTGCCAATTCTTTCTTCTAAAGAGAAATTGCTCCAAGTGGACAGAGAAGAGAGTCTAAAGCAAGCAGAATGTTTTTGATAATCAGAGGCCCTTCCAGCCATTTGTGTGTTAATGATCATTAAGCACAAATGTCAGAAATCAAGTACAAGGCTTATTTCCCTGAGATACCTTGGCAAGGATCAGACTGTTTCTTCTCCATTGGTTCAATCTTTACCTGCAGCTGAGTAATCTCCTTCACAATGTTCTTGCGGGCTTGACTCACTTCTCTTAGCAGGATGTCTTTACAGTTGACCCTCCGTTTATTCAGTTCCATCAGCCCTGAGCCAGTCAAAATTATGGGAAGGAAGTAAATAATCCTAACACCACATAACCTTGTTTAAACAATAAAGATTATTAAAGAACCATTGTAAGTTTATGTCATGTCATATAGGAAGTATATTAATTGACACTGTTTAGATTACATACTGGAATGTCAATGGTAGACACAGGGCAAAAAAACATAAATTTCTCTCTTTCTAGAATCCCAACCTTTTTTTTTTTTTTTTTTTGCCCGTAGGCACTTTTGGAATTCTGACACAAGGTGGTGGGTGCAATCACAAAATGGTTGCTGCAGGAAGCAGAGTGCAAGGGAGAAAAGGAAGCAGAGTGCAAGGGAGAAACAGGGTAATTTTAAAAATGCACTGGGAAAGCAGAGAGAGAGAATAAAACTAACACTGTAGCTGCAGCTGCCACTGAAACAATGTTATTTCAATCTGCACAGCCCAGCAGAAAAGTCCTACCTAGCTTCAGTGGCTACCATGGCACCCCATGTTGAGGACCCCTGTTCTAGAATATTATACAATAGTTAGCACCATCACCAGAGAGCAACCCAGGGGGAAAAGGAAACAAAACGTGAAAAAGCAATACTTTTCTGTTTTGAAACTCTATCCAACTCAGTCTTCAGGTACTGCAGTCTCTTCTGTTGCGCTTCTTGCTCAGCTTTCAATTGCTCTTTATCCATTACCTGGAAAGTGTGTGAAGAAAAAATGTATTAGTATCCTGTAATTGTAAGGACAGGGTTAGAAAATGGATTAAAGGGAGAAGAGAAACATGGATCCTGTTACTGTGAATGAGTTAAGACTACTTTAAATGTACACCACCTCAGATCTTATTAAATTCAGGCAATCTTTGGTACTGTCACCACTGGAAAGAGAAGTCTTCAAAAATACAGGGGATGCTGCTAAGCCACTCCCAGATCTACCTGAGCATGCATGTACCTGTGCTTTCACATCTCTATGGAGAAAGCTGCATCTCCCCTGAGTAGCGTATCAAATTTTAAAAAGGTTTATTCTTCAAAACATGCACAAAGATGGTAGAGTTTCAAGACTTTGGAATACAGAGAACATAAGCACAACATCTTGCTAACACCTTCCTTTAAGGAGTAGGAAATGTAGCTGATCCAAATATTCATGCTCAGACAGCAGACTGCTGATGGGACAGGCTTCAGGATGATGGGCCTGACAAGGGACTGCTGAACAAAGGATTCTTTCCTTCCCATTCTGTATTCCTCTGAGAAGGAGAGGTGCCTCAATAACAAAGCGAGAGTGTCAAAGTTCCTAACAACAGCAGTGCCCCCAAGTGCGGGTTTGCAACCAATACCTTTTGGGGATAGATGCAGAACTTGTGAGTTGTGTGCAAGGGAGGATGCAAGACATGACATATGGAAAAGACTCTCCATGGATATGCTGACGTTTTAGTATTTGTGGGCCCTTGTGATACTATCAGGATCAAAACAAGCTTAGGCTCTATGAGGCACAAGTCCAAGGGGTTAATCAAGGCCTTGGTTCTGTGTGCCTTGCAGGATCTTATTCTAATAGAGTGGAATGTCCAGCCAATATAATCTCTTAATTTCAAAGTAATATTTATTGAGCTCAAAGCAAACAACCTGCTACACTAACACACACTCCTCATTCATACCAAGAGGGACTGGCCAAGACCTTGAAGTGTTTGGACAACTCAAGTTTGGAGAGCGATGGAAAATGGTTCCCACATCTCTCAAGTCCCAGGATTTTATAGCGTTTCTTCCTGCTGCATTTCCAGTGAGCTGGTTATTGCCCACTTCTTATCTGGCCTCAAGATCACCAAATGGTTAGCACTTGTTCAGACTCCACCTATTATCTTTGGGCTGTGAACTCAAAAAAAACCAATGACTCTTGCTAACAGCAACAATTTAGGGGATTCTCTTCAGCAGAGGATCACAGGTTAACCCATTTGCCTCTGCAAGAAGCAAGGGTCATCTGCCTTTGAAAAAGACATCACCAAACTTTTAACGGCAAATCACATTGAAATCCACAAAGAAGTCAAACAACTACAAACTTCATGGAACACCAAAACACTATCATGGCTGGATAGAATCACCGTCCTATGCTCATTTATACTACCAAAATACCCCTACTGTTTTAGAACTATACCTATCCACATTACAGACCAACTATTTAAAAAATGGCAAAAAGACATTAATAAATTTATTTGAAAACTCAAATCACCAAGAATAGCATTCCACAATATGCGAACTCCTAGAAAGGCAGGTGGTCTGGCCATCCCTGATCTTAACTTATATCAAAAAGCAACTGCATTAGCATCAATAGTTCGGCAATACCATGAAGATTGGAAATGGATTGAAGAATCTACATTTTCCGACCTAAACTTCCAAGAACTCTTATGGAAAAAATATTTCAAAGAAATTGAACACTGTATCAAAAACCCATATATGAAATCAATGCTCAGAATATGGTATAAGATAAAACCCCAAATCACTAGACCATTCTCACAACTAAGCACCTTCACAAGGCAAAAATGGTTTCAACCTGCTGAAAACCTTGAAACATTTTGTTCTAGAAGAAAGACAATATTACTAGGATTATTGACGTAATGCACAAAGGAAAAATACTATCGAAATCAGAACTGGAAGAAAAACACAACACAACCTTCAAATGGTATGAATACTTACAAATTCAACATCTGATCAATTCAACAGAATTTAAATCTACAAGCAAATCTAGAAAAATTACTAATTAAAGGAAACTCAAAAAAGGCCTCATCTCTAAAATTTACAACATCATACTCAATGCTCAAAAAAACCAACCACCTCTAAGTTGTCAAAAAGCGTTGAACTCAGACTTAAAAACACATCTTACAAAAGAAAATTGGACTGGAATATGGCAAACACAAGCAAAGATCTCCAAAGTTTTAAACATCCAAGAAACCAACCTAAAAGTGACCACCAGATGGTACTTAACACCAACTCGACTAATGCACATAAGTCCTACTATATCACCATATTGCTGGAAACTCTGCGGTGAAAAAGCAAACTATATTCACAACGGGTGGTTATGTAAACACATACAAAACTTTTGGAAACAGATTGCTATTCAGATTGGAAAACTGACAAGTTACAACCTACCTTTGATTCCTGAGCTGATGCTGCTCCATCTATGGCCTTCCGATCGTCCTCCTGCAAATAGAAGAAAGCTAATTAACATTTTGTTAACAACAGCTAAAATAACAATTGCAAAAAACTGGAAAAATAAAAAGCCTCCCACAATAAATCAATGGTTCCATAAAACATGGGATATATTTATGCTGGAAAAATTTTCAATCTACGACACCACACACCAAAATGAATGTGAATTTCACAACATACTTACCATTTGGTACCCAATATTGGACAAAATATCTTTACATAAATTTGACTGGGAAAACATTACTGAAGCAAAATATAAGATAATGCTTTACAGCTGAAAAAATAGATCATGATGTTTAGTGCATCTCATTAATACTAATTGGTAAAAGCTTATTGTACAGTTATATGACTTAGTCGAAAACATTCTAACTTTTCTGCTAACCAAACTTTTTGTAAAAAACTGCCTGTTTTGTACTTGTAAAACCAACCCTATTTCTATGTATAGTTGCTTGAATAACTGTATTATAAAAAGTTAATAAAATTTCTATTTAAAAAAAAAATCTGCCTTTGAAAAGTAGTCTCTTTGTTCTTCAGCAACATGAGTCAGTGACTACTAGCGCATGACTTGTTTGCCCAGGAAGGAAGTGTCTCTGTGTTGAAAGGTCTGTTCCTCACGTTCTTGAGATAATGTTGGCCACCTGCTTTGATCTTGGATCACATTCACTCTAGCACACATGCATTTTGCCAGGCTTGGAAAATACAAAAATGATTCAAAGCAGCACAATGTATTCAATCTACAATAGCACACTGTATCACTAACTGGGGGCAGAGGAAAACTATGCAGAGCTTATTAAAAGAATAGGAAGTAGAGGCACAGAAAGGTCAGAGGGGCAGGTATACAACCCATTTCTCACAGTTGCTCCTCTTTATACCTGACTTTGATAGTGCTGACTGAAAAGAGGGTGGTACCATTTAATGGGAAAGATGGGTGATTGTGTGCCTGACTTCTACACACGCTCATCCTAATCCTGGGGACACAATGAAGTATATGTACAGGTCACTTCCTGGGTTCTCTGTGAAAACAACAATACTCCAAAGCCACATATTCAACTGAACCCAATTCTTTATTACACATAATGGGCAGCAAAGAGAAACACTGTACCCACTAACAATAAACGCTTGTCGCAAAGCATGATTATCTGAGCTGCATCCCTTTTCAATTCCTTTAAACTGTCCAGTCTTTCTTACAGACTGAAATCAGTTAAGAACTGTAGCAGACCAGTTAAAAGAAATGTAATTACCTGACCCTCCAGCTGTTTAAGAAGGTATAGTATATGTAGCCCCTTCTTGTTAGTGTATGCATGTCACACTCAGCTTGTTCACCCTGGGTGGTGACCCTTTCTGCTGACGCCTGCTCCACCCCTTAAAGACTCTCCTTGGGCCTCAGACCAGCGGATGGGGAGAGGGCTCTATGCACCCAGGTCCTCCTCCTCCTAGTTGCACACCACTCCCTTTCAGTAAGAGTGACTGTGTCTGATCATCCCTGGACTGACACTGGAGCTTCCGTTTATACCTCCCCATTCCCCATCCACCTTTCTTGCTGGGTCTTCCCATTGGTGTGAGACCCTGTCAGGCTACGTTTGGGTCACCAATGGCTCCACCCCCTTGTCCTCTCAGCCCTCAGTACAGGGTGAGCCCACCCTGGTAGGCAGGACCACCCAACTCCATGGGGCATGTTCCGTATGTCGCAATAGCCCTTAGCATGTTCGGCCAGCTGATGCTTCTAGGTAGGGGTGTGCAAAAAAAAAAAATTCAGCCCAATTAGGATTCAGCCAAATTGGGCAGAATCAATTTCAGCAGGCATAAAGACTCCTGCATGTCAATTTTGGCAGTAGGAGCCAATTCCGAAGTCTTTTGGCCAGCCGAATGTCATTTTCAGCCCCATTATATCCTATGGGCCATTGAAGTCAATGGTGAAAACATAGGGTATATTCTGGGGGCTGGAGGGGAGGAGGTTTGAGGGAGAGGCTCCAAACTCGCAGAGTAACTGCTGGAGCCTCTCTCCAAGATACCAATCAAGTTTCAAGAACATTGGACCAGGGGGTCCAATTTTATGGGCCCTCAAACAGGTTGCCCCTATCCCCTCCATTGTTCTCTATGGTGGGAAAAAAGTTACTTTGTAAAACTGCCCTTTGTAAAACTGACACCCATTGACGTGCTCCATCCAACACAAAGCAGGTTCTTGTTTTCTTTTACACACTGTGGATGTTGGTATACCCATAAAAGCAAGCATAACACCCCTGTTCTAACCACAGTTGCCATTACGAGTAACAACTAGGGATGTGCATTTCGGGATCCTGAGCCGAAAAAAAAGCCGAAAATAACATTTTCCGGCTTTTTTCGGCTTTTGGGATCCCGAATTAGCAATTTATGCGCTTGTCCGAATCCTGAAAAAAAATCCCGAAAAAATTCGGGAATCCCGAAAAATTCGGGTCCATTATAACCAATGGGGCCATTGAAGTCAATGGCAAAAATCTTCTTGAAACTTTGTGGGGGGCTGGGGGGGAGGGGGTTTGGGATAGAGGCTCCAAACATGGAGCGTGCTTACTGGAACCTCTCCCCAACATACCCACCAACCAGTTGTAGTCCAGTGTGTGATTCTTGGCTCTACGATTCAAATACATCACCAGTTGCCCTATTTCATATGAAGGAAGCACTTATACCTGGTCTCTGTGATATTTCTGCAGGTGTTCTTCCACCTATCTTTAAAAAATCCTGTCATTCCCCCATTGCTTCCTTCATATGAAGCACCAAATCAATTTTCCCCTCTGAACTGAGGAGGGCTGAAATAATGTGAGGCATCCCTTCACAGCTTAAAGGGTAGTCCACTGCTTCCACTGTATGGTTAATGAACAACTCACATTTTCTCTCATGCCATCAGCCTTTGTCATGGTGTCCTGTTGGTTCTTCTGCTTGCTCATAGGGGAAGGTTCCTGGAAGAACAAAGGAATTGAAAAAGGATAAAGGAAAAAATCTTGGGGTGGGGGTTAAAGCAGGGTATTACAGGTTGTACCCATTTTGGCTTGCCTTTGACATCAATTTGGTACACCTGTGAAGAAACCCCACTAACAACTCATAAATGCATCTCCAGTTGTAGTCCAGTGTGTGATTCTTGGCTCTACGATTCAAATACATCACCAGTTGCCCTATTTCATATGAAGGAAGCACTTATACCTGGTCTCTGTGATATTTCTGCAGGTGTTCTTCCACCTATCTTTAAAAAATCCTGTCATTCCCCCATTGCTTCCTTCATATGAAGCACCAAATCAATTTTCCCCTCTGAACTGAGGAGGGCTGAAATAATGTGAGGCATCCCTTCACAGCTTAAAGGGTAGTCCACTGCTTCCACTGTATGGTTAATGAACAACTCACATTTTCTCTCATGCCATCAGCCTTTGTCATGGTGTCCTGTTGGTTCTTCTGCTTGCTCATAGGGGAAGGTTCCTGGAAGAACAAAGGAATTGAAAAAGGATAAAGGAAAAAATCTTGGGGTGGGGGTTAAAGCAGGGTATTACAGGTTGTACCCATTTTGGCTTGCCTTTGACATCAATTTGGTACACCTGTGAAGAAACCCCACTAACAACTCATAAATGCATCTCCAGTTGTAGTCCAGTGTGTGATTCTTGGCTCTACGATTCAAATACATCACCAGTTGCCCTATTTCATATGAAGGAAGCACTTATACCTGGTCTCTGTGATATTTCTGCAGGTGTTCTTCCACCTATCTTTAAAAAATCCTGTCATTCCCCCATTGCTTCCTTCATATGAAGCACCAAATCAATTTTCCCCTCTGAACTGAGGAGGGCTGAAATAATGTGAGGCATCCCTTCACAGCTTAAAGGGTAGTCCACTGCTTCCACTGTATGGTTAATGAACAACTCACATTTTCTCTCATGCCATCAGCCTTTGTCATGGTGTCCTGTTGGTTCTTCTGCTTGCTCATAGGGGAAGGTTCCTGGAAGAACAAAGGAATTGAAAAAGGATAAAGGAAAAAATCTTGGGGTGGGGGTTAAAGCAGGGTATTACAGGTTGTACCCATTTTGGCTTGCCTTTGACATCAATTTGGTACACCTGTGAAGAAACCCCACTAACAACTCATAAATGCATCTCCAGTTGTAGTCCAGTGTGTGATTCTTGGCTCTACGATTCAAATACATCACCAGTTGCCCTATTTCATATGAAGGAAGCACTTATACCTGGTCTCTGTGATATTTCTGCAGGTGTTCTTCCACCTATCTTTAAAAAATCCTGTCATTCCCCCATTGCTTCCTTCATATGAAGCACCAAATCAATTTTCCCCTCTGAACTGAGGAGGGCTGAAATAATGTGAGGCATCCCTTCACAGCTTAAAGGGTAGTCCACTGCTTCCACTGTATGGTTAATGAACAACTCACATTTTCTCTCATGCCATCAGCCTTTGTCATGGTGTCCTGTTGGTTCTTCTGCTTGCTCACAGGGGACGGTGCCTGGAAGAACAAAGGAATTGAAAAAGGATAAAGGAAAAAATCTTGGGGTGGGGGTTAAAGCAGGGTATTACAGGTTGTACCCATTTTGGCTTGCCTTTGACATCAATTTGGTACACCTGTGAAGAAACCCCACTAACAACTCATAAATGCATCTCCAGTTGTAGTCCAGTGTGTGATTCTTGGCTCTACGATTCAAATACATCACCAGTTGCCCTATTTCATATGAAGGAAGCACTTATACCTGGTCTCTGTGATATTTCTGCAGGTGTTCTTCCACCTATCTTTAAAAAATCCTGTCATTCCCCCATTGCTTCCTTCATATGAAGCACCAAATCAATTTTCCCCTCTGAACTGAGGAGGGCTGAAATAATGTGAGGCATCCCTTCACAGCTTAAAGGGTAGTCCACTGCTTCCACTGTATGGTTAATGAACAACTCACATTTTCTCTCATGCCATCAGCCTTTGTCATGGTGTCCTGTTGGTTCTTCTGCTTGCTCATAGGGGAAGGTTCCTGGAAGAACAAAGGAATTGAAAAAGGATAAAGGAAAAAATCTTGGGGTGGGGGTTAAAGCAGGGTATTACAGGTTGTACCCATTTTGGCTTGCCTTTGACATCAATTTGGTACACCTGTGAAGAAACCCCACTAACAACTCATAAATGCATCTCCAGTTGTAGTCCAGTGTGTGATTCTTGGCTCTACGATTCAAATACATCACCAGTTGCCCTATTTCATATGAAGGAAGCACTTATACCTGGTCTCTGTGATATTTCTGCAGGTGTTCTTCCACCTATCTTTAAAAAATCCTGTCATTCCCCCATTGCTTCCTTCATATGAAGCACCAAATCAATTTTCCCCTCTGAACTGAGGAGGGCTGAAATAATGTGAGGCATCCCTTCACAGCTTAAAGGGTAGTCCACTGCTTCCACTGTATGGTTAATGAACAACTCACATTTTCTCTCATGCCATCAGCCTTTGTCATGGTGTCCTGTTGGTTCTTCTGCTTGCTCACAGGGGACGGTGCCTGGAAGAACAAAGGAATTGAAAAAGGATAAAGGAAAAAATCTTGGGGTGGGGGTTAAAGCAGGGTATTACAGGTTGTACCTATTTTGGCTTGCCTTTGACATCAATTTGGTACACCTGTGAAGAAACCCCACTAACAACTCATAAATGCATCTCCAGTTGTAGTCCAGTGTGTGATTCTTGGCTCTATGATTCAAATACATCACCAGTTGCCCTATTTCATATGAAGGAAGCACTTATACCTGGTCTCTGTGATATTTCTGCAGGTGTTCTTCCACCTATCTTTAAAAAATCCTGTCATTCCCCCTTTGCTTCCTTCATATGAAGCACCAAATCAATTTTTCCCCTCCGGAGGGCAGAATTGTGGCCCCACAGCATGTATCTGGCAAGGAGTAAAACCAGTTTTAAGTATCCTTAATAAAAATAAAATATTTAAAAATCAAATTTTCTGCTGAAAATATCATTATGATTTTATAACAACACCACCACCTAACTTTAAAAAATGGGGGCTGAACTGTTTTATATAAGCTTGCTTTTGTTATGGTTTTGTGTTCTTCAAAGCTGTTAAAAGGTTTTGCTACTGATGAAACAAAGCAAGAGTTGTCAGAAAGAAGAATGTCCCATGAACCTTACAGATTTTCACAGCAAATTTTTATTCCTCTTAAACTTTAGATTAATCAATTCTATAGGGAAATAACTGCACAATCCCCCCACCCCCAATAAGCAGAGATACTTAAAATAAGCACACATAGCTCTTTATTAACAGCAAGTAACAGTTTGTGCCTTCCGGTTTCATTGGGCCACAAAATTTCTTTTCTTTTGTTGCCTGTTTGCCTCTGCACTTATACTACATTTTTAGTCAACAATCCCCTCTAATATGACCAACTATTACACCATGTTACCGAAGCAGGCAGTCTCTACCTAAGTTGTGGGAAATTAGCTAGAGACAGAGGGAGAGGTGGGTAACTTGAATCTCCACCTGTGTATACCAGGATTGTCCCTCTGAGAATTCTTGAAAATAACCAGGCAGATGTTCAACTGGGTTTTTATTGAAACAAAAAGGAAATGAAATAAAACAAGGGTACACACAATGAACACATACAAGAGCTAACCAAGAAAGGCCGGGAGGAAAGGGGAAAGATTTTTAGGGAAGGGCAGTATTTACCAATTCTGAAGAGGTCCGTAGAAGCAGGCAAGTTCAAGAGTGAAATGGCCAAAATTTCTGGAAGCGAGAATGGCCCACATACAAGTGTGGGTGTATGGAGGGATCCAAGGCACACACACAGCTGGGTCAGATGGGTGACATATTTACAGGCCAAAATGTATCCTGAGGCAGGTTGATTCAATGCCAGAGGACAATGAACTAATGGCTTTACCAGAGATAGACAAAAAGGTGGGACAGGTTTGATGGCTCTACAAGCACTGGACAGGAAGGGTAATTGGGAAGGTGAATAGATTTAAGTGTTGATTAATCGCTGCTTAATCAAGGGTAATGGGTGAAGGGGAAATCAGGCTTGGGTGTTGATGGAATTATACCTGAGTGAATAAATAGGTCCTGGGTGACCCATTGTTCTAAAATCATGCATCTCTCCAGGGCAAGGAGGCGATAGTAGCCAGCTAGCTGCTCTGTCTTGCATTTTGAAATTGTTTTTCCAGGCTCACGCCTGGGTGGCATCCATCTTGGTCTACTTTGGACCAAGCAGTACCCTGTGCTTCAAATACTGAGGTGATATTAAAAAAGTTGATTCTGCCTACATAATCTATAAACTGCCCCTCTGCGGAAGGAGGGATCTGACTGATAACACATATGCTCATTTATGTTATCTTGCCAGTGTCCCCAGTCATGGTAACTACCGGTTATTACTTCCCAGCCACAACTGCAGTCTCGCAGCTACCGTTTTGTGACACAAAAATGTCAACTGATAACAGCTTGTAATACCTATGCATTTTTAAAATGTAAAGCAGTTATCATGATTTGTAAATGAGATATAACAGCTATTCGTTTGTCCTTATTCACCCTCTTTCCAGTTTGGTGTAGTGATTAAGAACGGCAGACTCTAATTTGAAGAACCGGGTTTGATTCCCCACTCCTCCACATGCAGCCAGCTGGGTGATCTTGGGCCAGTTCTATCAAGAGCAGTTCTCAAAGAGCTCTCTCAGCCCCAGCTACCACACAGGGTGTCTGTTGTGGGGAGAGGAAGGGAAGGAGATTGTAAGCTGCTCTGAGACTCCAGGTGAAGGATGGGGTATAAATCCAGCTGTTCTCCTTCAGAGGTTTTTAAACAGAGGGTAGATGGCCATCTGACAGCAATGCTGATTCTGTGAACTTAGCCAGATCATGAGAGAGGGCAGGAAGGGTTGCACCAGTGGCCCTTTCTTACATGCCCAGGGAAATGCTGACTGCCACTTTGAGGTCAGGAAGCAATTTTTGTCCAGGCCAGTTTAGCTGGGGATCCTGGAGGGTTTTTTGACATCTTCTGGGGATGGAATAGGGGTCACCTGGGGTGCGGGGGGAGGTATTTGTAAATTTCCTGCATTGTGCAGGGAGTTGGACTAGATGACCCTGGATGTCCCTTCCAACTCTATGACTTTATGATTCTTTATTTTCATATACTCCATTCTTGCAGCTGTCTCTTCCTCCAGCTTCAGTTCCCGTTAAACTCAAGTCTAGTCCACCTTTTAATTTTTTTTCTCCCTACACAACCATCGTCAGCTTCCTAATCTCTTTCTATTACGCACAAGAACCCATAATTTTTGTCCTATCATATACACATCTAGGTTTCCAGATGAATGATTCCTTGTTCTATTTGCCCCTCTACTACCTTTTAATTTCCCTCTAACTCCACACTTTCTTTCCCCATCATTTTCACATTCTGCAGCACCTTTCCTACTTGAAACAGATCACAAAATTTCTGTTTTGATTTTACTTTGAGAACAGTGTTTGACATTCCAACATAAAATGACAAATTCTTTCTAAGCTCCTGGAAAGCACTTTCCCTTTGAAAGCTTTTCTGTTTTCAAGGAACTGTCCCTTTGACTGCAAATGAGATATCAAAGGATAATCTCTCTCTGCAACTAAGTATTTCTGTACCATTCTGATTCCTATATTACACAGATACTTATCAAGCACTCCAAGATTGGGATTATTAAGGCTCTTTTCTGCACTATGGCTGGCCATTATCTGCATGGCAAACTTTCCAACCCTGACGGCTATAATGAAATCAATTACATTTCCATTATGTTCCCTATCTGTCACTGGAGCTCTCATTTAATAATGTATGCTTCTCATGATTTTAATGAGCTCTTTGGCTCTTCTGAATGAAGGACCGTCTGAAGAAAGATGGGTGCCTTTAGAACTTCCTTCAGGCTTTTTTTTTTGTTTAGATTAACAGTGGTTCTATGGAAAATACAGTATCTTCCTTGTAATGTTGAATTTTCTGTTGGAAGCCCTTTCTCTTCACACAGAGGAGTATTATTACTTTCTCCAATTGATTTTAAAACAATCTTCTCCTCTTCACCACAGTCCTTTTGACCTCACTGGTTCTTGCTAGTGTCACATGTCTGGTTTTAAAATCTGGTTCTCCAAGCACAGTTGAGCCTTCTCTGTTGCGGGGGAGAGGAAGGGAAGACAATTCTAAGCTGCTCCAGGACTCCTTTGGGTAGTGAAGGGTGGGGTATTGTGAGGGTGGGGGAGTGTCATATTGCAGAGAACAAAGAGGGGCTGGCCGAGACCTCAGAATGCAAGCCACGACATTACTTCACCTCGTCAGTGTCTGCTACCAGAGTTGCCTCACGCTCTTCTCTCTTGGCGTCACTCAGCCTCCAGTCTTGCCTTCCTCCCTGGTCCCAGCATATCGGCCCCTCTTGTGCTCCTCCTTCCCCCTCCCCTCATCACCCCTCTGAGTGGCCTTTAGTCCTGTCTGTCACCCATCCTGTCTTCCCCACTGGTCCTGAGTGTGGCCATATTTATCAGTCGGATCCGCCCTCTGCACTCAGCCGGGGGTGTGGTTGAAAGTGAGTTGATCAGGCTGCAGGTTGGCCGCTACCGCCCCCTTTTCCTAAGGCTCTCCTCCCCCAGCCCCATCCACCTCCCCTGGACCTGGGCTCTGGCTCGGCCCATCTGTGGTTCACCTGCCTGCCTCGCATTCAGCTGTCTCCCTGGGGCTGTGGCCAGCCTTTCCTCCTTCAGCCACTGGGACCGGCCTGTTTGGGCCCCAGGAGGCGACCCGCCAGCCTCCCTCCCTTCCCAGGCTGCCACGGCTCAGGGCCACAAGTGCAGAATGGCCGCTGGTTGCAGTCGTGGCCTGGCTGTGCCCGCTTGTCCTGGGGTGACACAGATGTCCCGGAGCCGCTCCTCCTTCCTGAGGCGCCTTCCAGGCCATTCTCATCAGCTGGTAAGTCAACAGGTATAAAAAACAACTCTTCTAAAACCAGGTATTGGTTTTAGCCAATGGTATTATTGCCTGCAGTTTTCTTTTCCTGGTAATTATGGTGCTGGAGAAGACTCTTGAGAGTCCCTTGGACTGCAAGAAGATCAAATCAGACAATCCTAAAAGAAATCAACCCTGACTGTTCCCTGGAAGGCCAGATAATGAAACTGAAGCTCAAATACTTTGGCCACCAAATGAGAAGGGAGCACTCACTGGAAGAGACCCTGATGCTGGGAAAGATTGAAGGTCAAAGAAGATGGGGATGGCAAAGGATGAGATGGTTAGACAGTGTCATAGATGCAACAAACATAAAATTGAGCAAACTTCAGAGGACGGCAGAAGACAGGAAGGCCTGGCGTGATCTGGTCCACGGGGTTGCGAAGAGTCGGACTCGACTGTGCGACTGAACAACAAAACTGCATAGGTACGACATCTGCTACTTCCCAAAGGCCCCACCCCTGCTGCACCTCTTTTAACTTCCCTGATCTTCTCCAAAAAGTATTAAAACATCTGAAATATTTAAAATTCAAATAATAGGAGAAGGAACAGTGGATCACAGAATTACACATGATAAATAACACTAAAATTGGTTTCCGGTTTATGGCGGCGCGCTGAGCAGTCGCACCTCCCGGATCTCCCGGGGGTGAAGCTGCGCTCTGGCTGAAGGAGGGGGTGCGCAGGATCATCACTCCCCCAGAGACCTGGCTGAAGGGGCTCTGGCCATGGGACTCTCAAGGGGTTGCCTCTTCGCCGGCGCGATGCCAGGGAATTGAGGAGCCTCTCCATCACGAAGGTTCTTCGTGCTATGAGACCGAATGGAACCAAGCGATGGTGACCGGGGCAAGTGCAGGAGGTCGAGCGAAAGAAACAGAGCTTAAACGAGGTCTGAGGACCAACTATGAACGTGAGTTCAATCTAAGCGTTTAAATAAAAGGAAAAGAAAGCTCCCCAAACCCCCCACGGAACAGAAAGTGAGGCGAGCAGGGGAGGGACGCCTCCCAAACGCACGTACTTAAAAGCGAATTGGAGGGGGGGAGTGGAAGAATAAGCAAATAAAACTGTTAAGAAAGACTTACCAAGGCGAGTTTGAGTGTACAAGCACATATTCAGAGACTTTTAAAATATCGGTTAAAGTAAACAATCCACAAAGATGGTGGGGAAGAGGACGGAGAAAGAGAAACTTTTAAAAGCAAAAGGGACTGAGAGCCCAAGACCGGAAGAAACCAGCGAGCTGGGAAAGACATTGGCGGAATCCATGCGCCCTCTGCTGGACCAGATGAATAATCTCAAGCAGCAGCTCTTAACAATGAATCAATGTATCACCACCCAGCAAACACAGTTGAGCGAGACCCTTAAAATGATTAATCAAACAGCTGAGAAGGTGAAAGAAGTGGACGCCACTGCACAAAAGGTGAAGAAGAAAGTACAAAAGCTGGAAAAGAAGCAAATCTCCACGGAAGATCAGCTGTTACAACTACAAATGGAAAAAGCTAATTTGATTCTTCGCTTCTAGGGCCTTCCAGAGACTAAAGGAGAGAATCTGAAGGAGAAGATGAGTGAATTATTGGCCCCAATGACAGAGATGAAGGCGGAATCTTTGCTGAGCGATATGGATGTGGCCTACAGGTCATATTCTGGATATATAAAGAAAAACAATCTGCCTGGGAAAATAGTGATAAGATTCTCGAAGAGATGTGTGAGGGATGCAATCTTGAAAGCGGCATTTGGAGCTCCTTTGAAAGTTGGAGATAATGCTATCAGAATCCTAAAAGACATTCCATTTGAAATAAGACAAAGGAGAAAGAAGTACAAAGATTTAATTCTTTTTCTCCAGACAAATGCAATTGGATACAGATGGCTAACACCAGAAGGCGTGATCTTCAAAATCAAGGATAAAAAGGAAAAGATTGACTCTGTTCAGAAAGCA